GTGAAAGGAGCTGGCCCACCAGGAAAAAGAGGAAGGAGAGAGGGCTGACTGAGACAGAGAAGGGCAGCGACATCTTGAAAGAGCAGCAGAGGATCATGGGGGAGCCCAGGCCTCTGGGAACCAGGGAACTGAGGCAAAGTTTCTTCTACCTGTGAACCTGAGAGGGCAGTTCTGACCTCAGAGCATTCCCCAGAGGCCAAACTCCTGCCCATGGCTCAGGCCTCTCCTTCCTCCCACTTTCTACGGCTAGCCTGCTGGGCCTTAGGACCTACTCTGACACACACACACACACACCGCCACACACACACACCCCAATGGCCTTCCCTCCCTGCCCAAGAGAGCTTGTCTTTCCCATCTGTGCAATGGGCTTGCCTACACCTTCTGAGCTCTTATATGGGACCCCTAACCAGAGAGAGGGTAGCAGTGCAAACAGCCCCAAACACTTGCTTCTCTCCCTTCCCTCCCAGGGTGCCGAGCAGCTAAATCTAGCAGCAGAGCAGCATGGGAAATCTCCAGAAGATAGAGGTTAAGTCCAATGCCTCTCTTGAAGCTGTCAGCCTTAGTGATAGAGAAGAGACTCTGTCCTAAGGGGCTGCTGTGGCCACCAGGAAGATGGGGTGGTCCTGTTGACCTCCTCCCTGCCAATCCTTCTTGCCCTTCTCTTCCCACCAACTTCTGTCTCACCTACCTCAGGGGCCTTTTGCTTATCTTTCCCAGGTTTGACCTCCTCACTTGACTCTGTGTTTACCTCCCCCTCCAGGTGGGCCAGCATCTCTAGCCCACCTGGGTGTTCTTTCACTATGTTGGGGTTTTTTTGTTTGTTTGTTTATTTGTATGTTTGCAAGACAGGGTATCATTGGGCCTCAAGCTAGCCTCCAACTCAGCGTGTAGCCAAGACAGGTCTTGATGATCCTCCTGCCTCCAGCTCCCAATCCCTCCACTACCACCCAGCTCTTCGGTATGCTGTTTACCGCACTAGGCCTCCATCGGCAACGGATGTATTTACATGGTCTCTGTCTGTCTGTCCTAGGCCTCATGACCCAACCCCCTAAAACAGAAACCGCACAGAATAAGAGCTCAACAAAATGCTACCACGCGCACAAATTTCCAGTCCAACGCAACCAACCGAGCAGGACAAGAATTGGGGGTCAGTGTCCCATACCCCACAATCCCTTCCTCCTTATGGAGCTGAGAGGAGTTGTCCCTTCTTTCCGCAAGGCTAGGGAGGCAGAGGCAGAGCCCCGGCTGTCCTTTTCGGCTGCAGCTGAGCTCGGGCAGCTCCCGGAGCTGCCGGTGTCCAGCTCCATACAGGGTCTAGTCCTGACAGCTAGGGTCCCTAGAAACTTCCCAAAGGCTGTCCTGCGCCTGCACCCCTAGTGGCACAGGGACTGAAGGGGACGGTAGGCCCGAGTCCGAGAAAGGAGCGAGGCTGGGCCTCTGGCTAGCTTGGCGCAGCAGAAGATGAAGACCCGGCAGCCCTTACCTGAGAGCTGGGCAGCGCAGGCCGCGGGACTCCGACCCCCCAGTGGGCTACGAGAGCCGGGGAGCGTCGCGCAAGAGCCGCGGCTGAGGTTCTACTCAGGTCGGTCGCGGGTGGCCGGACGCCGCCAACGCGCAGGACCCGCCGGATCCGCAGGACCACAGGACCGCAGGACTCCCCTGGCTCTCCCCGGCAGCAGCGACTGGCAGGCGCCTAGGGTGGTGTTTTTCGTCCAGGCAAAGCTCCGAAAACACTCACGACCCCTGTTTGTGGCACTCAGCCCCGCCCCCGGCCTCCAGCAGCCAATCGTAACGGACTCCCGCCCAGAGGGGAACAGGCCAATAGAATTCCTCAGAGGGCGGGACGGCCCGCGGAGCTCTTAAAGGGTCTGCAGAAAGCCTGTAGTTATCCCAAGAAAAGTGTGGGTGAAACTTTTACCGGGAAAAGAATTTCTGCACCGCTCACCCCTAAAACGTTTCGGGACAGCGCACCGAGCACGCTCTGCCGTTGTCCCGCATCTTCCTGCGGTCAGCTCTAGTCCTCCGACCGGTTCTTCCTACCTCTCCGAAGGTGGAGCCTTGGGGACCCGCGCCCCACAAAAGTGACCTCTGGACACCTGGACCAGGAAGGAGGGAAGAGAAGGCGGCCCTTCCTCGGAAGCCTTGTTCTTGTCCACTTCAAAGGGACCTGCTGTTTACAGGGCTCCAGGCCCTGGCACCAGTCACCCTGAAGGCTGGGTGTTATTAGTCGTGTTTTGCAGAGGGAACTTGATGTTTCTTGAAAGGGTTAAGGAATGTGTCCAAAGCCATCAGACTAGGAAGTGGACACTCCAGATCTCATGCGTAGGCAGGTGCCTTCCAGAGGGACGCCTTCCCTGACTGCCCTGTGCGACACCCCCGGGGCAACTTGGAGGCCTGGCCTCATTTTAGGCCACCTCCTGCTCATCTTGCGCAACTTGGGACCTTGGGCCAGCCACGCTTCCCTGTAATGTTCAAGCTTGTGCCCAAGGGGGGGGGGGGGGGGGGCTGGGCATCTGCCTGCTTCCTCAGATTCTCAGGTATGGCCTCTCACATCCTGGTCTCTCCCTCAAGTGAATATATTGACATGCTCATCCCTTCTCAGGCATCCGGTGGCCCAGGACCCAGCCCACAGTGTGTCCCAGCAGCACCTAACCTTGAGGGGTGACTCAGTGCTGCTGGAAGGTGTAAGCACCTGTTTATTATAGGATGCCAGGATCGCCCAGGACAGCACAGTGGGACTGGAATGTTCCCTGAGACTTCAGATTAGGTCCACTGTCAATTCTGGTCTTAGCCGGAGAAGCTGGCTGTGCCTGCCTACAGCAGCTATCACAGCCACAGGGGCAGAGAAAAATCACCAGAGTTCTCAAATTCCTGCCAAAAGAGTATAGTACCCTGTGCTTAGGAATACTGGCAAAAACATGTCCTAGGCCCTTTCTGACCTTCAGAGGTCAGGGCACCATTATGTTATGTTACAAGGAGAAAGGCCACAAGAATTGGACTCAGGGTTTCTGCAAAGACAGTACATGTTCGTAACTGCTAAGCACCCCCCCCCACACACACACACGCCAGCCTGCTGTCACCACCACCACCACCATTCTCAGTCACAGTAGGCATACAAGGTGTGGTGGGATTACCTGCCTGTAATCCCAGCGCTCGAGAGGCTGAGACAGGAAAAGTGCCTCAAATTTGAGGCCAACCGTGGCTCTATAACAAGACAGAGTCTCAGAAAAACAAGAACAATATGTTATTCTGCATTTCATACTCTGGAATTCTGAGCTCCATGTGTAGGTGTCTAGGAGATTTTTTTTTGTCATTTGTGGAGTAACCAAGGCCGTCAAATGCCATTTTCCCTCTGGCAGCAGAGCAGTGGCTCCTCTGCTGCAGTGTCCCTTACACACAGGACAGTGTGGCATCCAGAAAGCCACACGAATGGGGACCTACCAGTTCCTGGATTGCACCGGTACAGGGTGTGAAGAGCTGTGCCCGTCCTGAGAACCTACAGCACGCTGGGGCACTGGGACCCTCCATATGCTTGTCTCACTCAGTGCTCTGATCTTTAAAATTACAAACCACGCCTCTTTCCATCCCCAGTACGGGAAGGGGGATAACCCAGCTTCAGGGTCCTTCCGGGCCTGTGGTGACTCCACTGTCCTCTGCTGTCACAGGGTCTGGCAGGGCCCAGGCCACTTGGACTCTTTGCAGAATGTGGCTCTGGTTTATCTTGTCCATGACATCCAGCTAGTAAGGATGGGCAGGCATGGAGGGGCAGGCGAGTGGTGACCAATGAGACTGTACTGGGAGGGGGGTAGAGCTGAAAAACCAAGGGCTTGTCTTCATTGGAGCTTTAGGGGTCGTGTGGCCTAGGACAGACTCGGTCATCTTTTCAAAAACCAGATCCCATTACGGTGACATAGTGTGCCTTTTACCTGTCTTTGGAGTCTCTGTCATCGAGATGCAGCACCTTCCACACTGGTGACTGCTGCTGTTACCTGCATGGCTCCAGTTGGCACACTGGCTTCCAGCTTTGGGGGAGACCTCCAGCAGGAAAAGGGCTGTGGGTTCCTGTCTCAGAGACAATGCTACTAACCCATCTCCCTAAGAGACATCCTTTACACCTAGGGGTAGGTATCTTCTATACTATGAGGCCTGCAGCTCCCACCTTCTGAGCTTCCATCCGTTCTTCCTCGGCCCTACTCTGAACTATTGATGCTGTACCTACAGCAGAAATCCCGTCCTGGTGAGACCCAGCCGTCTAGGGCTACAGGAACAGCAGCAGCCCCCTCACTGGAAGCATCCAGCCTGTCTCTGCCCGCCTCAAAAGGTGGCAGCTACTGCTTCACCCACCGCCTGGCTCCCACGCCCCCCCCCCCCCCCCAGGTGACCTCGTGTCAGAACACAGCTCCAACTCCTAGACAGACTGCAGATCTGTGATCTGAGCTCTCCCACCCCTTCCTGGGCATCACAAGTTGTGAAACAAGGGTCCCTAATACCCTCCAACCTGCACTCCCCTGCTTCACACACCACATCCTGCCCACCTGGAACACCCTTCCTGCACCTTTGCCACCCCAGCCAAGTACGACTCCCTCTTTGATAAGCTTCCACAGCTGCCTGAGTGCAGGGAGGATTGAACCTCAGAGCTTTGGGTGAAGTTGATACCCGATCAGGAAGAAATCAGAAAACAGTCTCAGTTGCATCAAGCGGCCATACTGACACCAAGGTCTCACAGCTAGGAAGCCGGATTGGTCCCCAGAACCACCAGCGACCCAAAGTCCAGCCTTATTTCATCGTGATAAACCCTGGAGGGCTAAGCCCAGGTGTACAAGCGACCTGGGTGCGGGCTAATTTATTGAAGGTGTGGGCTGGTCTCTAGGGAATAGGGCGGGGCCTCACATGGTGTAGGCGTGACCAAACATTCTAGCCCTCCTCCCTCCCTAGATAGACGCAGACGTCGTGACGTCTGGTTCCTCTCGGCGCTTCCCGGGCTCGGGTGGGCCACGTGATCCAGTTTTCGCGCGAAAACCGGTGGCTGCTGGTGCGGTGGAGCTAGCGCGGAAATGGCGGTGAGTTGCGGGCTGCTCTCGGGCGGGTGTTGTTCAGCGGCCTCGGCCTGCTTTGCCGGGTCTCTTCCTCCATCGGCAGGCCCGAGTGCAGGGCTACCTGCTCTAGTCCGGGACGGATCGTCTCTGCGCTCCTCTTGTGTCCCTAGGCCCCGGGTCTCCGTGTACTTTGGGTGGTGAGGGTGCAGGGAATGGAACTCAGAATCTCGCGCGTGTAGGGAAGGAGCGCCACCACATAGCTACATGCACGCCGACCCATTTGTTTTGAGAAAGGGTTTCACAGCCGTGCAGTGGTGGCGCAAGTCTTTAATCCCAGCATTCGAGAGGCAAAGGCAGGATCTCTGAGTTCGGGGCCAGCCTTGTCTACAGCGCAAGTTCCAGGACAGCCGGGGCTATTACACAGAGAAACCCCGTCCCGAAAAAGAAAAAAGAAAGAAAGACAGACAGACAGACAGACAAAGGGTCTCACTAAGCCATTCAGGCTGATCTTCAATTCACTCTGTAGTGCTGATTAGCTTTAAATTTGGCAATCCTCAGGTCTCAACTTCTGGGCATTCGGGATTACATACCTGACGTCAGGCCCGACTTCCCTGCTCTTAGTGTTCGCCTTATCATGACTCTCTGACTTGTTAAAGGGTGAAGGGCTGACCGCTCAGTTCAAGAGTTGTGTTCCTTGATGCCTCTTAATAAAAACTTGTCCCAGCACCCAGCATATTGTGACTGTTGGCGTGAGTGGGGTGCTCATTTAAGAGCCAAAGTAGGTGATAAATGGCTTCAACAACAACAAATAACTGCATAGCCCCCTTGGTTTTTTGTAAGAGAGACATGGGATGATCTGACTGACCCAGTATGTAAGGCAATGACTCTTGGCTCAGCCCAGATCCTTGCAGGCAGAGGGCCCCCGCAAGTGGGAAGGACTCAAGGTTGAAGGGCTTCTGTGTTCTTGAGAACAGTGCCTGGTGGACAGGTGACAGCCAGCCGGTGGCGAAGGCTCCATGGGAACCAGGCCAGCATCTGATGGCACCCTCTCTTGCAGGAGTCTTCTGAGTCCTTCTCGGCAGCATCTAGCCCTGCCCGGCAGCGTCGACGGGTCAGTGATCCCCTCACCTCCAGCCCTGGCCGCAGCTCCAGACGTGCCGATGCCCTTACCTCCAGTCCTGGCAGAGATCTACCGCCGTTTGAGGATGAGTCTGAGGGGCTGCTGGGCACCGAGGGGCCCGTTGAAGAGGAAGAGGATGGCGAGGAACTCATTGGTGACGGCATGGAGAGGTATTTTCAGTCTGGTCGTGGTTAGCAGGTAGCTTAGTAGAAAGATCCTTGTGTCTGGTGGCCTGGACTTGGGCACCCATGAGTGTGAATTTTGCCTTTGAATGTGGCATGGTTCAGATCAGGGAGAGAGATGTTTCACCAGCCTCCGTGAAGACCCAGCTCAGGAGATGGGGGGCCCGCAGGCTCTGATCTGAATAGGTATGCCAACCCAGAGGGGAGTGGACTCTAAGAGTTTTCTCTTTGCCTTTCCTAACACGTTGTCTGGTGCTTCTGAAAATGGAGGCTAAGATTTGGTCAGCAAACTTGGACCCAGCATGCATCAGGCCCTGGGTCAGAAATGCTCAGGCTTTCCCAGCAAACTTGCCAAAGGTGGGGGCTGACTGCTAGGAAGCGGGGTGTGAGCATGCCAGGCAGTACAGGTAGATCCCGACTTCAGCCTTGCCAGCAAGCGCAGCTGGCATCGGGTATCAGTGTGTGAGCACCTAGGAGCCTTGTGACACCCTCCTTTTGTGGGGGGATATCTGTGTGGTGTGAGCCACCAGAGGGACATTCAGTTCTTTGCCTTAAGCACTGCCAGACTGGTTACATGAGACTAGGTGTGTAATGTGTCCCCCTAGGGGGGGAACTGATACAGATGATCCTGGGCTCAGGTTCAGAACTTCGCTGCTGCCCAGCTGCTCACGTGGGGCCTCCTGTGCTGCCTCCTTGTCTGTCTTCACTCTTGTGTTTATACCTCTTTAAAGAGATAGGACCTCAGGGAGAGTGGCTGAGGGGTTTGTGTGGAAAAAAGCTCACTGAAGCCTTATCCTTCTAAGAGTTCAGCGCAGACTTTCTGAGCCCCATTTCTATTGCCCCGCTGGGGTCCCTCCTGCCTACAGATCCCAGTTCCCATTCCTACCACAGCTACCCAGTGGTCTACTTTTCTCCTTAGCTCTTCCAGTTCTGAGCATTTGACCAGAGCTGAAATCATATGGTATTTCACTCAGCACAGTGTTGTCAAATAGAGTCTTTTGTTTGTGTGCGTGTGTGGTTTTTTGAGACAGGGTTTCTCTGTGGCTTTGGAGCCTGTCCTAGAACTAGCAGACCAGGCTGGCCTGGAACTCACAGAGAGTGTTGGGATTAAAGGCGTGCGCCATCATTGCCCTGCCAAAGTTCAGTCTTTTTTTAAAAAAATGTATGTGTGGGGCTGCTCTTTCAGAGAACCTAGGTTCAATTCCCAGCACTGATTTATACGTAAACATTAGCCCGAGGCGAACACGCCCCCTTGGGCTGGGCTTCCCCCTACAACTGTCTATAACTCCTGTTTCAGGAGGTCCAACAGCCTCGTACAGTCCTATGCACATGAAATGTAAAAGATTTTTAGCCCGGCGGTGGTAGCTTACACTCTTAATTCCAGCACTCAGGAGGCAGAGGCAGGCAGATCTCTGTGAGTTTGAGACCAACCTAGTCTACCGAGCGAATTCCAGGACAGATTCCAAAGGTAAAAAAGAAACCCTGCCTCAAAACAACAACAAAAAAATAGAATGAATTTTTTATCTGTATGTAGGTCTACGTACCAGATGTGTGCCTACTGCAGAGGCCAGAAGAGGACATCAGACCCTGTGAAACTGTAGTTAACATATGGTTGTGAGCTGCCATGTGGGTACCCAGAACAGAACCCAGGTTCTTTGCAAGAACATCTACTGAGCCAGCTCCAGCCCCTCACTTTTTGTTGTTTGTTTTTTTTTGATACAGGGTTTATTTGTGTAACAGCCAAAGCTGTGTTGCTTTGTAAATCAGGCTGGCCTTGAACTCACAAAGATTCGCCTGCTTCTGTTTCCCAGGTGCTGGGTTAGAGGCGTGTGCCCCACCACACCTGACTTCCTTCAGTTTATTTCATTACATTGTTCCTTTTGTGTTTATGTATGGCGCCACACACCACGACGTGTACGGGAGGGTCCGAGGACAAGTTGCTGGAGTTGATTTTTCTCCTTCCTCTATTGGGTCTCAGGAACTGAACTCACATCGGGTTTGGTGGCATTGAGCCATCTCATCAGTCCAGAAATGTCTTTTAAGACAGAAAGGTTTTGAAATTTGATGTGATCCAGATTGTATGGTTTGTGTGTTTTGCAGTAGACCTATTGGAATGTCCCTGTTTTGGGTGAGAAACAGGTGCATTCCTCCTAGGTCACCTGGACTTGTCCTTGATTTGACTTTGGTGTTGTGAGATTGTTTATTTTGAGAGGGTATCCTGAGAACATTGACCCGAGAAAGGGGTCAGCCTTACCAGTCACCCCAAAGAAGGGAGAACTCCAGAGTCCGCATCCCTGGGAGATGTTGACTCCTGGGGGGAGGCCATGTGGCCCCGAGGAAGGAGCTTGCAGCTTGCTGGTCTGTAGAGTCAGGTTATCATTCAGAGATGAGATGGCACTCTGGACTCACGCACCACAGGGAAGAAGGTGCCACTCTGTGATGGACAGTACTTTCTTCTCTTCGAGTACCCAACAAGTGGTCACCTGCTTGATGATCTTGGAATAGCTCAGAAGGGTGAGCCAGTGGGTGTGAGCTTTTCAGGTAGCAGTCTGACTGGGTTTGGGGAAGGGGTATGCCCAGGTGGGGAGAAGGCTCAGGGAGGGTACAACCCCTGGACCCACTGGGATCTGCTCTCCAAAGCCTTTCTGGTGTCAAGGTCTTAGTTTCCTTTAATTCCATTTTCTTTTTGTTCTTAAATTTTTTCTGTGCATTGGTGTTGTGCCTGCATGTATGTCTGTGTGGAGATGTCGGGTCCCCTGGAACTGGAGTTACAGACGTTATGACTGTCGTCACACACCGCATTTCTGTCTTTCTCTGAGTCTGACCTCTCTGTGGACCACAATTGATAACATCTTAATTCATTGTTGTGAGATCCATGCTGCAGTACCTGTCAGAGCCCCTTGTCAGAGCCCCTTCTGTTTTAAGGCTGAGAAATGACCGACTGTGTCTCTCTGTTTATTCACTGGCCACCCTGGGAGACCCCTAACCCATCTACTAGAGTTCATTGTTTTCCTAACCTTCAGAAGGGATTGAAGTGTTTTTAGAGTTTGGCTTTCACTGTGTGTCCTTGACTGTCCCCAGACTCTGAGAAATCTGTCTGTTTCCTGGGACTGGGGGCAAAAAGGTGAAGGTGTGCACTATTACACTGGCATTAAAAAGTTATTCTACGTATGTGGGTGTTTTACCAGCATGTATGTCTGTGCACCACATGGTGACTTCAGAAGCCAAAAGAAGGCATCAGATCCCCTGGAACTGGAGGTAGTGGAAATTGAAGCAGGGTCCTCTTGAAGGGCAGCTAGTGCTCTAACCTCTGAGCCATCTTTTCATCTTCTTTTTTTTTTTTTTTTGGTTTTTCGAGACAGGTTTTTTTTTTAAGTATTTATTTGTTTGTTTGTTTATTTATTATGTATGCAATATTCTGTCTGTATGCCTGAAGGCCAGAAGAGGGCGCCAGACCTCTTTACAGATGGTTGTGAGCCACCATGTGGTTGCTGGGAATTGAACTCAGGACCTTTGGAAGAGCAGGCAATGCTCTTAACCACTGAGCCATCTCTCCAGCCCATCTTTTCATCTTCTTAAGGATGTTGAGATTGTCAAGATTGTCCTTTGTATGCTGTGAATATGTTTCATTAACATTGGTTAATGAATAAAGCTGTTTCCGCCAGTGACTTAGCAGAGCAAAGCCAGGTGGGAAGTCAGAACAGAGAGAGAGAGAGAGAGTATAGGCCAAGTCAAAGAGACACCATGTAGCTGCTGAAGGAGAAAGATGCCAGCCAGACCCTTACTGGTAGCCCACAACCTGGTGGCAATACACAGACTAATAGAAATGGGTTAATTTAGGATGTAAGCATTACTTAAAAAGAAGCCAGAGCTAATAGGCCAAGCAGTGTTGTAATTAATAGTTTCTGTGTGGTTATTTGGGTCAGAGCGGCTGGGAAACGAACGAGCAGTCTCCGCCTGCACCTTAATTTCTATGTTTATGTGTTCGAGTGTATCCGTGCCTACGTACACGTGTAAGTGCAGGTGTCAGTGTGGGTGCTGGAGTCCAAGTTTGGTCCTCTACTAGAGCAGTATGTGAGCTGGGCAGTGATGGTGCATGCCCAGTACTTGGAAGGCAGAGGCAGGTGGATCTCTGAGTTCTAGGGTAGCCAGGGCTGCACAGAGAAATCCTGTCTCGAAAAGGAAAAAAGAATGGTATGTACTCTTAACTGTTGAGCTGTCTCTAGCCCGTATGTGTATGATTAGCTACTTTGTGCCTTGCATTTCCACTGGGGTCCTGGGTTTTAGAGATTCTCTCACGTTTATTATCCAAAACCCACGTCCTATTGTGTTTATTGGGCTTTCCTAGTTTCTGCCCTGTCATAAGTCCCTAGTTTCATCCTGGCAATGACGGTTTCATGTTTTCTAGTTTCTGATGAAAATGGTGCCAGTTAAGAGATTTTTAAATGACCTCATTTGATTCTTTCCTTGGTAATTTTTTCGAGGCCAAGCTCAGTAGTGCCTTGGGGGAGAGACTGCTTTAGGGGAAGCACTGGCTCCTCCATCATGTACTACCAGCAGGTGGCGCTGTGGCTGTGGGTCTTGTTCTGCCGAGACTCACATGTCTGAATCTCATGACTGCACCCCATGCACACAAATGGATCCCCTTTGCATCCTAAGAGCTTGTGCCTTCTTGATGGAGTGCCCAAATAATGTTCTTCAAACTTTCAGCTTTCTGTTTGCAGCTGTCCAGCCAGGGCCTTGTAAGCCAGTAGAGCAGACCCCATTCCCAGGGGGACTGTTTGTGGACTCTGTCTGTTGTTGGCCTCTTTCAGAGACTACCGTCCCATTCCTGAGCTTGATGTCTACGAGGCAGAGGGATTGGCCCTGGATGATGAGGACGTGGAGGAGCTGACAGCCAGTCAGAGGGAGGCAGCAGAGCGGGCCATGAGGCAAAGGGACCGTGAGGCTGGCAGAGGCCTGGGCCGCATGCGCCGGGGGCTGTTGTATGGTACGTGTAGCGGGCATCCCAAAGGGGCTGCTTGAACCTTCAGAGCCTCGGGAAGCGGGGAAGGCATGGGTGGCAAGTGTGCAGAGGATGCTGGGAGAAACTTGCTTACAGGGGTGCCTTGCTACCCAAGACAGCGACGAGGAAGATGAGGAGCGGCCTGCCCGTAAGCGCCGCCAGGTGGAGCGCGCCACAGAGGACGGCGAGGAGGATGAGGAGATGATCGAGAGCATTGAAAACCTGGAGGACCTGAAGGGACACTCGGTTCGTGAGTGGGTGAGCATGGCGGGGCCCAGGCTAGAGATCCACCACCGCTTCAAGAACTTCCTGCGCACCCACGTGGACAGCCACGGCCACAACGTCTTCAAGGAGCGCATCAGTGACATGTGCAAAGGTGTGTTCCCGTAGGCTGGGGTGACAGCACTAAGGGGTTGAGGTGGCCTGTCTCTATCCTGCCGTGAGGGCTGCTCCTGTGGCCTTGTAGCACATTAACGCATTATGACAAGGACAGAATTGGAGGCATCCTCTTTGAGGAACCCAGGGTTTCTTTCTTTTTTTTTTTTTTTTTTGTGGTTTTTTTGAGACAGGGTTTCTCTGTGGTTTTGGAGCCTGTCCTGGAACTAGCTCTTGTAGACCAGGCTGGTCTCAAACTCCCAGAGATCCGCCTGCCTCTGCCTCTCGAGTGTTGGGATTAAAGGCGTGCGCCACCACCGCCTGGCGAACCCAGGGTTTCTTACGTCTGCACCAGACCTGGGCTGTTTAAAAATGTATTAATACCCTGGGTTTTGTTGTTGTTTTGTGTGTGTGTTTATTTTATGGGCAGGGAGGTTGGTTTTTGTTTTTTCGTTGTTGTTGTTGGGGTTTTTGCATTGTCAGATCAGGGCCTAGCACATTCTAAACGTGTTCTGCCACTGACCTGCTCTCTGGCCTGTTTATTACAACTTTAGTCCTTAAGTGGTAGCATTTCTGTGTGACAGCAGTTGCTTTAGGGGCTATGACAGTTTGGGGCGTGGTAGCCCCTCCAGAAATGGCTCTAGTTTTTCTGTAGGTTTTCTCCATGGCCTGTGACACTCTTTCTGGAGCCCAAGGGCTCTCTTCCTCCTGGATATGATATCCCCAGAGATATGCATGTTATTAACATATCACTTGGGTTTCTGTTGCACAGCCACAGGTAGTGGGCCTAGGGTACAAGCTAGACTTTCTGGCCTACTCAGGTTTGGTTTAGGCAGAGAGGCTTTGGCCGGCAGGGTTCTAAGATGTTAGCTACCTTCATGGCCTCTGGCTGTATCATCACTCCTGCCCACCGTCCTCCATAGAGAATCGCGAGAGCTTGGTGGTGAATTATGAAGACCTGGCAGCCCGGGAACATGTGTTGGCATACTTCCTACCCGAGGCACCGGCCGAGCTGCTGCAGATCTTTGATGAAGCTGCCCTGGAGGTGGTGCTAGCCATGTACCCTAAATACGACCGCATCACCAACCACGTCCATGTGCGCATTTCCCACCTGCCCCTGGTGGAAGAGTTGCGTTCACTGAGGTGAGCAGGGGTGTTGCAGGAGAATTGTCCATACAGCCAATTCACTGTGCCAGTAAAGCAGCTGGCTGGCCGGGATTAGCCATAAAGTTCTTGGAGGACTTAGGGAGGCGACTAGGGAAGAGAGGAAGGAGGAGTTTCAGGAAATTTCCAGGGCTGGTGGTTCGGGAAGAACATGGATGAGGGTCAGCCAGTTGCTTCACTTTCCTTGGACTTTTCAGATCTTCTCAATTTCTGACTCCCGAGTTTTTATTATACTGGAACAAATTAGGTAATCATTATATCCGACGGCCTCATGTGGTGCCTCAGGTTGGGTGCACTCCTTTCTTGTTGGGGCTGCACAAATAATGACATGGAGATGTATTATTCATTATGAAAGATGGGTAGCCTTATTTCTAACCAATTTTTTTTTTTTTTTTTTTTTGGTTTTTTTCGAGACAGGGTTTCTCTGTGGTTTTGGAGCCTGTCCTGGAACTAGCTCTTGTAGACCAGGCTGGTCTCGAACTCACAGAGATCCTCCTGCCTCTGCCTCCCGAGTGCTAGGATTAAAGGCGTGCGCCACCACCGCCCGGCTTCTAACCAATTCTTATAACTTAAATTAGTCCATTTGTATTAATTTACATGCTGCCGCATGGCTTGTGGCTTTTCTCCTTTTGCATGTCCTGTTTCCTCTAATGTGTGTGTGCCTCCCACCCTGCCCCCCCCCCCTTTTCTCTATGCACAGAAGTCCCACCTAACCTCTTCCTGCCTAGCTATTGGCCACCCAGCTCTTTAATTAAACCAATCAAAAGACACCTTGTCAAAGACACATCTTCACAGTGTACAAAAAGATTATTCCACAACACGGGGAGAGGGAGCAGGTCCTCGTCCAGAGTGGGGTAGGAAGTACCCCACAGCCTCTGATGCGCTTTCTACCTTCCACACTCAGGCAGCTACACCTGAACCAGCTGATCCGTACCAGCGGCGTGGTAACCAGCTGCACTGGAGTCCTGCCCCAGCTCAGCATGGTCAAATATAACTGTACCAAGTGCAACTTTGTACTGGGGCCTTTCTGTCAATCTCAGAACCAGGAGGTGAAGCCTGGTTCCTGCCCTGAGTGCCAGTCAGCTGGGCCCTTTGAGATCAACATGGAGGAGGTGAGTAACCCAGACCTGTCACGTTAATCCTTGGTGTGCAGGCCTAACCCGTCTTTGGGGCCAGGAGATCTTAAGGCAGTTAGACATGGCAGAATTAACCAGACTGGCCCCGTGTCCTCAAGAATTCCTTACGTTTGAAGCTAGGTGATCCTGTTTGGTATGTCCATGTTTGTGGTCTCTAAAGACAAGGGCAAACAGGGCCCAGTTTTCCTCCGGTTCACCCCAGTAGAGTATCTACTTGCCCATCATGTGGAGACTTGGACCACCTATTGACTTGATGGTAGGGTCTGCCAGCATCCGATGACTTTTTTGTGGGAGTCTCCAGTGCAGAGCCCTGCTTGTTAGACCTGTACCTCTGGGCTCTGAGATCTTGGGTACAGCATGCCTTCTTGTTTGTCTTCATCTGCAGCTGGGGATCGCTGCTGCCCCTCACTGCCTGGCTCCTAAGAACACTAGCACTCTTCACACTTTGTATAGTTCTGGGCTGTCTTTAGGGCTGCTTGGCCAGAAAGTTGTCGGTGACAGTGTTCAAGTCCAAGTCTGCTGTACAGGGTGACCAAGTTCCAAAGCTGCTCTTAGCTGTGCCTCTCCAGCCTTTGCAGCCCCACTTAGCTGTGTCAAGCTTGGATGCTGTCCCCCCCCCCCCCCCGCCCCCCACACTGAGCTGTACTAGTTGGGATTAACAGGTGGGGTCAAGTGTGTGCTGGGCTTGCTGACTGCCTGCTGTGTTACTTGGGTCTTAGTCTTTATGACATTCTGAGAAGGGAGGGTCCCAAGGTTCTCATCTTGAGGAATAACAGATGTTCAGAGACTTGAATGACTAAGGTCACCCACTCAGCGGTGTCCTATGGATCAGGCAAGCATATAGATGTGATTGTGTGCTTTTTTTTTTTTTGATTGGGATAGGGGCTTACTGTGTAATCCTGGCTGGCCTCAAATACACAGACATCTACCCATCTTCTGAGTTCTGGGCCTAAAGGTGTGCACCACTATGACCCTGACAGTGTGTCCTTTTAGCCCCTGCGTCTTGTGTATTAGTCAGCTCTGGGTTCCTGTAACTAAACACCTGATGTAATTTACTTTAAGAATCAGTCATGATTTGGGTCAGTTGACCCCCATAGCTTTGGGGCCTTTGTGTGGCCGCGATGGCATGTGGTCCAGCAAGCTGTTCAACTCACATCAGAGACACAAAACAGAACAAGAGACCAGCCAGTATCCCACAGTCCCTTCAAGGGCGTGCCCCTGTGACGTGACCTAAGGCCTCACACACATGGCCTAAAGAGTGATGCCTTCCATGAATAGGCTATGGGGACATTTGCAGCCCAGACTGTAGCATGTCTTCTCTCGTCTGGACTGTAAGTGAACTGGTGGAATGTTACAGCATGTGCCCAGCTCTCTCCACCGTGTGGTCCTGCTTTGCTGTTTGTTGTGGGGCTGCAGTAAGTGCGCGTACACATGGCCCCACCTGATCCTCATAAGGTCGTGCTTAGAGCTCAGCACCCCCCTCTGCCAAGGACCACACTCCTGTGACTGGGCTAGCGTGTGGACACGGGTGAATCTAGGCTCCAGGGTAGGAGCAGAGGCGAGTCCATGAGGAGGAAGACACTGCCCCGGGGATGGTGGCAGATGAAGAGGCTCACTGGATCACAGTTAGCCTGCCCTTGGTGTCTGTGACTCTTGTGACCTGCTTTTCCTGTGGGGGCTGCAGTCATGTTGGAGCTCACGGGAAGGCTGTGTTTGGAGGAGAGCAGTTGGCCATGTAGGACCATGATCTTTTCTGTCCCGAGCAGACCATCTATCAGAACTACCAGCGTATCCGCATCCAGGAGAGTCCCGGCAAGGTGGCGGCCGGCCGGCTGCCTCGCTCCAAGGATGCTATTCTCCTTGCTGATCTGGTGGACAGCTGCAAGCCTGGAGACGAGATAGTGAGTGGATGTTGCTAGGAACTGGTGGGATCTGCTGTGGCCAATGGGGGTGGGGTCCGTGTCCGAGGGGGGCTCAGCCTGGCACTAACTCTCCTAACTAAAAGTCAGGAGAGCTTTTCTCCCGCTGGGCAGAGTGGCGGGTGTTACTCAGAATTTCTGTGACAATGCTGTAGAGGTGCTGTCAGCTTAGAGGAGGGGATGTTTATCCTGGATCAGTGCCAGAGCTTTAGTCCATGGTCTTTGGGCCTGTAGCTGTGGATGTAGCTGCACAGTGCATTGTGGCAGTGTGAGGTGGGGAGGATGTAGTTGCCCACTTCATGGGCCCAGAAAGAGAACACTGTGTCAGGGTCTAAGTATCCCCTCCTAAGGACACACCCTAAATGACCTCACCAATACTTTGCAGTTGTGTCAAATTGAGAATGAATTCTAATGCATATCTCCCGCCCCCCATCCCCAAACAGTGGGACAGAGCTCCTCATGTTTTGACTTCTTGGCTTGCTCATCTTGTCTGCAGCATGAGGCGCTTAAGAGGGGAGATGGGGAAGCAGCATGGATGTAGACCCTACTATGGGGACACCAGGTTGTACCCTCTGACGTGTGACCTCCCCCTCCCAGGAGCTGACTGGCATTTACCACAATAACTACGATGGCTCGCTGAACACCGCCAATGGCTTTCCAGTTTTTGCCACTGTCATCTTGGCCAACCATGTTGCCAAGAAGGACAACAAGGTGGCGGTCGGTGAGCTAACGGATGAGGATGTGAAGATGATCACCAGCCTTTCCAAAGACCAGCAGATTGGAGAGAAGGCAGGTGTCTGGGCAGGGCTACACCTGGACTCTCTGGGAACCAAGCAATCTACTCCCTAGGCTGGCTCTCTGAATATTGGCATTGGTAGGGGCCGGGGGGGGGGGGGACTGTACCCTGCAGGGGGACCATAAACTGACATTGGGGACAGCAAACCCGGCTCTGCCTCTGGAGGCTGGAAGTCCAAGGTTGAGGGTCCACTTGGGGCAAGGGCTTTCATGATATGGCAGAAGATTCCATGTTCCAGAAGGGCAGAGGCTTAGCTCCTTTTGACTGGAAACTATTGTGTATGATACTGAGCCCTGCCGGCCTGATTACCTCGTCAAGGGCCCCCATATAGGGTTGTACTGGAAACTCTGTTTTCAGTTCATGCTTCTAGGGATACATTAACAGCACCGTCCTCTGCCCTGCTGCCATAGCTGTCCGTCACGGCCAGCCTTGCTGCTTTGGGCCTCTCAGACAGGTTTTATTTATGGTTATATCTGCTTTAAAGGGAAGAGTCTGTCCTGGTTTGCTTGCTATATCCAGACCATGACCAAAAGCAGCTTGGGGAGGAAAGGGTTTGTTTGACTCTTCACTGAGAGACGCCAAGGCAGGAACTTAGTTTCTAATGCCTGCTAGGTTCTAGTCTCGTGGGTCTCCCTCCATTCCTCAGATCTTTGCCAGCATTGCGCCCTCCATCTATGGGCATGAAGACATCAAGAGAGGCCTGGCTCTGGCCCTGTTTGGAGGGGAGCCCAAGAACCCAGGTGAGCCCCACTTGCCAGCTCTCCCTGCAGGGAATATAGGGCCTTTGTTTTGTTTTTAAACATCAGAGTTAACAAGAGTTCTGCATGGCCTGATTAAGTCGCAGGAGAGACTGCAGTGAGCGTGGCCTCTGTGCTCAGCCTGGTCCAATGGGCTATATCTCTGCTGAATGACGTCACCGCCCTTTCAGGCGTGCAGGGCACACTCAGGGTTTCATGATGTGTGTCCTACTTTGGTTGTATCCTAAAGCGTCATAGTTCATTCCTTTAGACTAAGGTTACTAGGGTCCTGGGGGTGGGTACCCACTGCAGAGACCTACCTTTGCTTTACTAAGGAGCAGGTTGGGGCGGGGATCCAGCCTGTCCTCCGGCCCTCCTTCCTGCCTACTCACATACCTTCTATCTCCATCCCTGCCTCCTCCCGCAGGAGGAAAGCACAAGGTTCGAGGTGACATTAACGTGCTATTGTGTGGGGACCCTGGCACAGCAAAGTCTCAGTTCCTCAAGTACATCGAGAAAGTGTCCAGCCGTGCCATCTTCACCACGGGCCAGGGTGCATCAGCTGTGGGTCTCACTGCATATGTTCAACGGCATCCTGTCAGCAGGGAGTGGACCTTAGAGGCTGGAGCCCTGGTCCTGGCCGACCGTGGCGTGTGTCTCATTGATGAGTTTGACAAGGTAGGTCTCTGGGTTCGGGACTGAGCTCTCAGTAGTGGAGGGCTTAATTAGTGGCGAGGCCTCCTGTGATACTCTGTGTGTTGTATAGATGAATGACCAGGACAGGACCAGCATCCACGAGGCCATGGAACAGCAAAGCATCTCCATCTCCAAGGCTGGCATTGTCACCTCGCTGCAGGCCCGCTGCACTGTCATCGCTGCGGCCAACCCCATAGGTATGCCTGCTATGGGATGCAGATGGCAGCAGGCACAACCCAGTCCCTAACTCCTGCCAGATGGGAACAAAGCGGGAAGGACGTGGGACCCCACAGTGATAGTGCAGTTGCTCTTGCAGCATCCTTGGGTGTTGTCAGATACTTTGTCCAAATGGGGCTGGGCTGTACCCAGGCTCAGCCAATAGGTGGTTATTACCCAGGATCCCCTTTGTCTTCCTCTGATCATACTGGGGCTTTGCTTTGGAGCAGCTCTGGTTCTAGGGGAGTCAGAAAAGAGGATCCCCTCCTCTTTCCCCCACCTCTGCCTGGGAGACACTCTGGTCTTGGAAAAGTTTCCACAGAGAGGGTGGAGTGGATGAATGCACTGACTGACAGCTTGCCTCTGTGTTTCAGGGGGCCGCTATGACCCTTCGCTGACCTTCTCAGAGAATGTAGACCTCACAGAGCCCATCATTTCCCGGTTTGATGTCCTGTGTGTGGTGAGGGACACTGTTGATCCAGTTCAGGTACACCCCCATATCCCTGGTGCCAGCTGTAGGTTCGGGGCCATTACCTGAAGCTTGGGTACTGTATTGGACATAGGGTTGGCACTGTATGGACATTGACTCATATCCAAGTGTCATCCTGACCTCTTAGGGCTTCCTGGCTGTCTAATAACAGACCATACCATGACCTCTGCCCTCTGCCCCCTGACCCAAGGGGCCGCTGTGGCCTAGGTTGGTGCTTCTTTGCCTGCCAGTTAAAAGAGTAGACTGCGTGGCACCTGTCCTCCCCACAGAATCCCTGCTTTGTGTGGCCACCATGTGTTCCACATCCTCCCTGCACCTGCTGGGGGGGGATAGCGGCCAGCTCTACCCTCGCCAGCTCTGCAGCTGCTGTCTTCATGCTAAATGAACCCATGTGCCTGCTCTCCCTCAAAAAGGCAGCCCTGGGCTCTAACTGCTCTTTCCCTTGGAGAGCCCCTCACCACCGTCATCAGATGCCTCTTAGTTTGCCCTGTGATGAGAGGCTTCTTGGCCACTGGCCTCTCCTTTACCCTATTTTTTCTTTAACTTGTTACTTTCCATTATTTTTGTGTTAATTTTGATGGTTTGGTTGTTGAGACAAGGTCTTAACTCCTGGGTTCAAGAAATCCTCCTGTCTCAGCTCCTGAGTTTGTGGGATTGTCTTCTGTACGCAGATGTCTTCTGCCCCTCTAAGCCTGAGCTTGCCTAGCCTCAAACATGTGTGACAGTCACTTAGTCTCCTTGCTGTGTGTAGCTTTTCCCGTCTTCCTGTTCCCACCCTTATATTGCACCCCACATCTCTTGCCTTAGGATGAGATGCTGGCCCGCTTTGTGGTTGGTAGCCATGTCAGACACCACCCCAGCAACAAGAAGGACGAGGGACTTACCAATGGCAACACCTCAGAGCCAGCCATGCCCAACACGTACGGTGTGGAGCCCCTACCTCAGGAGGTCCTGAAGAAGTATATCATCTATGCCAAGGAGAGAGTCCACCCAAAGCTTAACCAGATGGACCAGGACAAAGTGGCCAGGATGTACAGTGACCTGAGGAAGGAATCCATGGTGAGCTGGAGGGCACTGTGCTGGCTTTCTGACCCAGACACATGGTAGGGTCAAAACAAACAATATGAAGGAAGAACCACTGGGGCTTGGTGCTCTGTGGTAAGTGCCTGCCTTGTATGGACAGGACCCTGGTTCCATCCCCAAAACTGGAAAGAAAAAAAAAAGGGCCTTCCATATCTTAGCCATTGGGTTACAGGTGAACATTAATTGTGTGCAAGAGGGTCAGGGGTGTTTGGTTGCTTAAGTTCTGTGTTAACATAAAGCTCACCCAAATCAATATGAGCTAGTTTGGGTTCTCTGTACCGGTAATGTTACCACTGTCTTCAGAGCGTTCAGCTTGGTTCTTACAGAAATGGTGGCTTCTGTCATTGTTCTGGATCACAGTATGTTCAGTGTAAGCTAGTGCAGGTGTAACAGATCAGACAGATACAAACTAGATAAGGGCAGAATAACCAGTGCTGCTCGTGCTGACCATGGACCTGTTTGTGCACGGATAATGGCGCTGAGCTCAGCTGTAGTTGCTATACTGGCCACCTTGGCTTTGGCTGCCTAGCATTTGCCCCTAGTTGTTCTGCCTCTCCTCCTGAGGAAGGCACCACACTGTTCTCTGTAGGCAACGGGCAGTATCCCCATCACCGTGCGCCACATTGAGTCCATGATCCGCATGGCAGAGGCCCATGCACGCATGCATCTGCGGGACTACGTGATGGAAGACGATGTCAACATGGCCATCCGTGTGATGCTGGAGAGTTTCATTGACACACAGAAGTTCAGCGTCATGCGGAGCATGCGCAAGGTGGGTATCGGTTCCTGGCCTGTTTGAGGGTTTGGGAGGCTCTAGCCTGGAACCTTGGTTAGTTGTGGCCTAGTATAGCAAGAAGGAGCCCCTGCCTTGGTGAGCCGTGAAGGTGGCCTGAAGTAACCTCTGCTCTCTTCCTGCAGACCTTTGCCCGGTACCTCTCCTTCCGGCGAGATAACAATGAGCTTCTACTCTTCATACTGAAGCAGCTAGTGGCTGAGCAGGTGACATATCAGCGGAACCGCTTTGGGGCCCAGCAGGATACCATTGAAATTCCTGAGAAGGACTTGATAGACAAGGTAAGTAACAACAGGGGAGGGCCAGGTCTTGTTACTCTGGAGAGCTTGCTGCCATCTTTGGTGTGCCACCAGGTAACGGGCAGATAAGCTACAGGTGGGCACAGGGGAGCAGGTTCCAGCAGCCTCTTGAGTGCCTGTGAAGCTGGTGGAGCTCAGATACGGAGCTCTGAACCAGCATAGGCCTTCCTGAGGCGAGGGCTGACATCCTCCCCTGCTAAATGGCTCTGATGCCCCTCTCCAGGCCAGGCAGATCAATATCCACAACCTGTCCGCCTTCTACGAGAGCGAGCTCTTCAGGATCAACAAGTTCAGCCGTGACCTGAAACACAAGATGATTCTGCAGCAGTTCTGAGGTCAGCACTGACCCAGTGTCTGGACAGCTCAGCCACCACGCTGCACATAGCCTGCTTCCACCAGGGGCTCAGTGCTCTATGAAGTTGCCATGCTAGCTAGATATACATCTTTACCCATGAGCCCCTGGGCACAGGCTATGGTGTAAAATGACTATTCTTCTGATCACCTCAAGAGAGCTCTTCTTGACAGAACCCTCTGCCCAAGCTCGGCAGCCTCCCAGAGTGCCTCATAGCTGGTGTTCAGGATGGGGTGTTCAGGTGATGGACTTGACCACAACGGTTGCTGCTTTGGCATGAGTTTTGTCTCTTTTAGCCTCAGAGCACCTTACAGGTATTTGCAAACTTTTCTAGAACATTCTTGGAGCCCTGTGCTCCTCTGACAGTGCAGCACTTGCTGGTCACCACCACTGAACCTGCTTCTTCCCAGCTAACCAGTGCCTTCATTCACTTTTTGTACAGGTTTTTGCTTTAGTAGTTTATTTTTTAATAAAGTTGAATACAATCTAAATACTGCTGTTATTTTGATTCTGGTTTAATGTGGCTTTCCAGGCTTTCCTGGGATCCTTTGAAGTCTTTTCTGCCTGCCCTGAGTTTCAACAAGACATAGTTCTGGTTAGATCCACTTTATGGATGTTCCCTGTACTTTGGGTTTTAAATGTCTCCTTAAGAGTCATTGCTAATGTAAGTTCGTTGTTTTTTAATTCAAGGCCTCACCATGTAACCCTGGCTGGGCTGGAACTCAACTTGGAGATCCACTTGCCTCTGCCTCCTGGGATTAAAGGTGTGCACCACCAGTCTGACTCATTGCCAGTTCACCAGGTTGGAGCCTGGTGGGAGGAAGTGAGGCTATTGGGCCCTGGTACACTTTCTGTTTCCAGACCACTATGCTGTCAGCAAGTCTCTGCCACTATGAAGTTCTCAGTACACTTGGAGCCTCCAGGCCATGGGTGAATCTTTGGAATGAGCCCCAAACTGTACCTCCTTATAAGCTGATTATCTCTGCTTCTTGGTCACAGTAACAGAAAGTTGACCAACACAAGACACAACTGTTAGGTAGAACACACAGACCTGACATGCGTTCTTTTGTCCAGACAAGATGCATGTTCATCTATTCTTCCTGGTTCTTAGGAAGCTGCAGAGTCTTCTGCATTTAGATTCTACAGGTCTGGCTTGCTTCGTTCTGGCTTTTAATTGCGCTGTTTAAGACTGAATGGTTTCTCTTTTTAAGCAGTGCCAGCACAAGAGCCAGAGCCCTGCTTGTGTCCTGCAAGAGCTGCGCTGAGCCACATGCATGCCTCCTGTGTGGTACTTCCCGTTGGTTTCTGTAACGGGCAGACTGTCATCTTCTGTCCAACCTCAGACTCAGCAGACTCATGAGTTTTCCCACTAATTCCCCGTTTTCTTTATCAGGTTAGCTATTACAGGGTGTTCAGCATTTGGGGTCTTGGCGCTGCCCTTTTCTGCTCCTCACTCGATCTGTCAAGGCACACTTGTAACGCACCGTGAAGTCTGGCTATGGATTATAGGTTTCTGGGAGATCCTCTTTTGGATCATGGAAGTTTCTTCTTAGTTTGTTCTTTTTTTAAAAAGATGCCAAGTGTAATCACATAACTGAGAGTGAGAATTGTGTCTTTTGCTCATGCTCTATCCGTCACGTCCCTGAGCGGAGCCCTGCCTCACGGGGACGGTAACACGTGGGATGAGTGGCTGCAGGCAGCCTCCTGGGATCTAAGTGAGGCTTGACTGCTGTGAGACAGGTTCAGGCTTCTGCTGTGCAGTTGTCTTTGCTGCTTTGGTGTTGGGGTTTGCTAGCATGGAATGAACTGGGATACTCATGGGCTTTGCTCTGGAGATGCTTTTGTGGGCACTTGGCTTCCAAATGGACTTCTCATCACTGGTCCCTTTAGCTTTTCTACTAGGATGAATGTCACCAAATGTATTTTATTTCAACACATTCTTTTGGGAGCTGGGGCAGTTTATGAAACACTGACGTGAGTTACATTCTCCGTCTACATAAAATGCCAGCTGTGGTGTGTTTGTCACAGCACTGGAGAGGCAGACAGACAGGCTCAGGCTCGGTGGCCAGCTCTGGACCAGTGAAAGCCTATCTCCAAATGAAAACCAGTGGACAGTGTCTGAGGGGTGACCCCCCAGGTTGTCTTCTGGCCTACACACAAGCACTCATTTAGATTTCTTTTTTTGTTTTTCTGGACAGGTTATCTCTATCTTTGGCTGTCCTGGAACTCACTCTGTAGACCAGGCTGGCCTCGACCTCAGAGATCCTCCTGCCTCCGCCACCCAAGTGTTGGGATTAAAGGTGTGTGTCATTACATCCCAGCTAGACTTTTATTTTACTGTTTGTGCATGTGTGTGCAGGTGAATATGACGGCATGCAGGTGTGCATGTGTGTGCAGGTGAATATGACAGCATGCAGGTGTGCATGTGTGTGCAGGGGTAGATCAGAAAACATTCAGAAGTTGGTTCCAGGACTCAAACCCTGGCTGTCAAGCTTGGTGGCAAGTGCCTTGCTGACCCATCTCACCAAAATCATTTAGACTGTTTAAACTTTATCCGTAAGTCATGTCATTTTTCTTATCACTTCAAAGTCAGATTTGTACTTTCTATTGTTTTCTTTAATGTTCCTGATACTGTAGGTGTTCTGCTTTATTAACAGCCTCTCTCTCTCTCTCTCTCTCTCTCTCTCTCTCTCTCTCTCTATCTCTATCTATCTCTTTCTCTCTCTCTCTCTCTCTCTCTCTCTCTCTCTCTCACACACACACACACACACACACAATTTTCTTTTCCTTGAGACAGGGTTTCTCTGTGTAGCCCTGGCTGTCCTGGAGCTCACTCTGTAGACCAGGCTGGCCTCGAATTTACAGAAATCCGCCTGCCTCTGCCACCCAAGTGCTGGGATTCAAGGTGTGTGCCACCACGCCTAGTTTCACTTTTAACCTTTTTTAAAAAATAAATAAATGGATTTGCAGCTGTGCTATCTCTGCCAGCTTTCGGCTGCGTCCCTAGACTTGCACACACAACATTCTCACAGCATTAGTTTTGAGAGGACTCGAGGTTTATGCTGTGATGTGCTCTAACTCAAGAGCTATTTAGAAGCACAAGCCATTGGGCCTGCGATTTCCTCCAATGATTAAATCTGATTTGCTTCTCTGTTGGCCAGTTCTATGTCAACTTGACACAAGCTAGAATCACTGGAAAGGAAGGAGCCTCAATTCAGGAAATACCTCCTCAAGATGGGCATAGTGGTGCCACCTTTAATACTAGCATGGGAGACAGAGGCAGGCAGATCTCTTGAGTTCAAGGCCAGCCTGGTCTATCTACAGAGTGAGTTCCAGGACAGCTCCTTAATCAAGTGATTGATGTGGGCGGGCCTAATCTGTTGTGCCTGAGACCAGGCTGAGCCTGGCAGTGGTGGTGCACGCCTTTAATCCCATCTCTCGGAAGGCAGAGGCAGGTGAGTCTCTGTGAGGCCAGCCTGACCTACATAGTGAGTTCCAAGACAGGCTCCAAAGCAGCACAGAAAAACCCTGTCTTGAAAAACCAAAAAAAAAAAAAAGCAGGCTGGCAAGCCAGTAAGCAACACTCCTACATGGCTTTTTGCATCAGCTCCTGCATCCAGGTTTCCTGCCCTGATTGAGTTCTAGTCCTGATGAACACTGATGGGAAGTGTAAGCTAAATAAGCCCCTCCCCATCTTGTACTAGTCATGGTGTTTCATCACAGCTACAGAAGCCCTAAGTAAGACAGCTTTTATACCTTTACCAGTATTTATTTTTATTTATATGTATGTGTATATATACCGTGTGTGTCCACTCATGTACAGGGACCAGCAGAGAGTTTCAGATCTGGAGCTGGAGTTTCAGGCAGTGTTCAATGGACGTGGGTGTCAGGAACCAAACCCTGGCTCTCTAGAGAGAGAGCAGCCAACATTTAACTGCTGAGCCATCCTAGCCCCTGTCGTTTGCTGCTTTTCGTATTCCTCACAGTTGTGTTCCTGCAGAACTCTCTGGCTGTGCTGCATGTGTGTCTTCCCCTCACGCTCAGGAAGGAAAGCAGGTATCTCTGCCCAGGGTACCAGCTTGTCTTGGGGGTTAGTATTTCCAGAGATGGGAAACATTAGACCGTTTTTGTATTTAACAAGAATGATCTGGAAGAGACGCAGGTCAACACTGTCCATAACAGGGTGAAGTATGATGAGGAGCCCAGGTCAGGGAGATGCTGACTGGCCATGTTTCATCTCTTTCCCAAATGAGATACTTGCTCTAACCACTCTTCTGGACCGTGCCCCCACTGAACAATGGTCACTGTAAGAACAATGGTCACTGTAAAAACAATGTCCCTGAGGTTCAGACGATTCAAACAAGACCATTAGCTTTCTGGGCATTTCATTTTAGGTCCATCATCCCATGCCTGTGTCCTCTGGGTAGCCTGGCTTTGCACAGAAACTACAAACCGATTCTTCTCTAACTTGAGCTTGTGCTTAAGAGTAAAACACCAAAAAATATCAGTCAACAAACACTAGCCAGTGTGGTCCTATCCGTTCTGTCTCAGTGTTCCACTGACTTCACTTTCACCACCATCCCCCACCCCTAGACACCAGCAACAACTTCCTCTCTGCTCATTGATGGTTTGCTTGTTTCTTTTGTCTTGAGTGCTTGTCCAGAGACCTCCTCAGACTCTGACTCAGGCTAGGTGAAGGGTAAGAGGGTCTGCAGTCCTGTGTTCTGATTGTTGCTGCTTTGCCACTCCTTCCTTGTGTTCAGGGTCCTCACATTGAAGGATAAACCACAGAACTGCTAAAAGCCACCCATCCCTGTCTCTGCACTGTTTCCCAGTGACAATGCTCATTCCCCTGAATATGACAGACCACGTCCACTCTTTTCTTTCCCTTGGAGCTCATATCTTGCCTGTGTCTTCCAAATCCTGTTTCTCTAGACTAGAAGATCTAATGGCACCCCCCCTGCAGTGAGGAGTGAATTTAGTTTTCGAAAACATCCAGCATAGGCCAGACATGATGGTACAAGCCATCTCAGTACTCAGGAGGTGGAGGCAAATGGATCTTAGTGGGTTCAAGGCCAGTCTGGACTGCGTGGGGAGCTCTGGGCAAGTCAAGGCTACAAAAATATAAATAACATTTTTTTAAAAAATATTTATTTGTATACAATATCCTGTCTGTGTGTATGCCTGACCAGAAGAGGGCACCAGACCTCATTACAGATGGTTGTGAGCCACCATGTGGTTGCTGGGAATTGAACTCAGGACCTTTGGAAGATGCTCTTAACTGCTGAGCCATCTCTCCAGCCCACATAAATAACATTTTTTATATTTTAGAACAGATGCTTGATTTTTAAATGTATTAGTTTTGATTTTATGTATATGAGTGTTTTCCTGAATGTTTGTGCATTGTGTACAAGCTTGGTGCTCACAGAGGCCAGAAGAGGGCGCCAAATCCCCTGGACCTGGAGTTAACACTAGTTCTGTGTCA